CGTCGACTAGGGGAGGGGGGAGAGGGGAGGAAGAGAGAGAGAGAGAGAGAGAGAGAGAGAGATAGAGAGAGGGAGAAGGGGGTGTCAGAGGTAGAAAATCTTAGGAAACTGTTTTTGATTCACAATTCGGGTAACAGAGCCGATGTTGACAGAATGGTGACGTTGATGCATCGTTACTAGGAGCAGAGGGTGTGTACGGATTGGTCATCCCCAAAGACATTGTGTAAAATAAAAGAAATCGCCTTTCAAGATTGTCTGAGGAAGAAGGAAGGTGCTGCTCCATTATGTAAAACAAACTTGGCTGGGGTCGACGTCTGAAGGGCAAGCGGCATTTTGTCACTTCCCAAGAGTCTCAGCGTCCTGCCCTGTAAGTAGAAACAAATCCTTTAAGAATGCGGCTACTACTCGTAGAAGAAGATGCAATTTACTGTTTCTCTTGGGGAAAAAAAACCAACGACGAAAAACCCCCCAAACAAAACAAAGTTGAAACAAATCCTTTAAGAATGCAGCTACTAGAAGAAGATGCAACTTACTGTTTCTCTTGGAAGAAAAAAACAACAACGAAAAAACCCCACCCCAAACAAAACAAAGTAATAACCCCCGGCCATTCATTGTCTGGAAGAAAATGGCTTTTTGTCGTCTGTTGCCCCCAACGTGGTGGCCCTTGGCGGTTAAACACGAGTAACTATCCCCGGACTACCCAACATCCCAGACGTCATTTTGAATATCTCCTCTCTCGCCGGTGACTACGCACTCTGTCTAGACAACTTAGGACAAAGGGACGCCGACCCGATCACAGATCTACTTACCGATTGGAGAGTTGCAGTAGTCGTAACGTGGACTAGAGACAGGCTCAAAGAAATACGTACGTACGATAGCGTGTCCTAGCCTGTTTTCCATGACAACCAATGTACCGGAGTCTTAACCCTATCCGTACGCCCTGGGGTCATATTGTAGCCTCGGGGTTGTATTCTACACATTTTAGAATACTTCTAGTACGAAGATCTCTTTGAAACCTTCACTATTTCTCCAAAAATCATTTTGACAGACTGCTGTGCAAAGCGTACGGATCGGATTAACGAGTAGATTTCCTTTTTGGAAAGTGGTGGCACAGAGTTCCCCACGTCGTATGGATACGACAGTAAAACACGACGCACGGATAAGGTTAAAATAAGGGAAGACGTTTATTCTATTTTTCCAGACCTTGTCTTTCTTCCTGTGGTGTAGCCGCTAGCCACTTAGCTATCGCACGCAGAAGACGTGGGTTCAGTTCAATTCCTGAGTGAGGAAGTAATTTTTCACTTGGGGATTTGTATCCCCCCTCAGTGTGGGTTGGATATGATAGTGACAGGCATTGTTGAAGAAGCTCGCTCCCTAAATTTTCCAAAATGGTGTTGACAGGAGAGTAAAACTTTAACAGAGTTACAATTTTTAGACCGTGTCCCTCTCCTCATTGTTTTCGGAATATGTTACTCTTTATAGTAATAGGTCCCCTGTAATCCTAGGTACGATTTTTGACCTATTTGTGTTGCGAGTGCAGTTAGTAAAACTTTTACTAAAACTAACAAAGACTCTCACTTCATGTCTGATGGCCATGGATTGATTCCTGTTTGACTGTATACCGTTCCATTTCCGCTGAGAAAGAGAGAGAGAGAGAGAGAGAGAGAGAGAGAGAGAGAGAGAGAGAGAGAGAGAGAGAGAGAGAGAGAGGGCGATTTTGTTGTTTTTGGACAGCAGATGCATTATTATCACTTTCTCCCTACCAACCCCCTCTCCTCGCCCCCTCTCCTCGTCCCCTCTCCTCGCCCCCTCTTCTGGTCACCACTTTTCCATAATGTTGATACGACTAAATTTGTGCATTTTGTGGCTAAACAGTTTTGAATTACTCGGTTTCCTTACTTCGGTCTCGCAACTACTACGACTACTACTGCTGTTGCTTCTACTACTACTACTCCTCCTACTACTACTAATAATAGATAGCATTTGTATAGCGCATATCCTCGTTCAACAGCAGGCTCTATGCGCTTTACACTATATTATTACCCCAGCAGACCATAGAATACTCCGAAACATTCTCAGCTTCCCGGGAAGCATACAGTGCAAGCAGCCGATTAAGCGCTCAAACACTAACAAACTGACAAGATCTTTCGCTGTCTATAGCCGGGTACCCATTCCCACCTGGGTGAAGTGAGGAAAATTCGTGTAAAG